TGTTAATCTGCGTGTGTTCTGTTGTGCATAGGGTTTTCAGAGGCCTGCTATTTCAGAAGTGGGTGGCCAATCCTTCTTCCTGTTAGCAGTTAAAATAATTGTGCAGTCCCACCCTTAATTAACAACTTTTGTTTTAGTCCCCTCTCCTTCCCATCTCTGCTAACCTCTAATAAACTTTGTTGTCCATACATTTGCCTTTTCTTTTTTCATGTAAGTGAGTTTATACAATATTTTCCCTTTTGTGATTATTTTGTTCAATATAATGTCTTTATACTCCATCCACATAGTAGCATCTATCAGGTCTTCATTTCTTCTAATGATTGAGTAGTATTCAACTGAATATATGTACCACATTTTACCTAACTATTCATTTGCTGATGGGCATTTAGGTTATTTCCACCTTTTAGCTACTGTGAATATTGCTGCAGTCAACATTGGTATTTAGGTCTCTTTTTAAGTGTATGTTTTCAAAGAAACAACACTTTTTAGTTGTGATGTTCAGTGTTTCAATTTTTTCTTTATTGGTTTGTTGTGTTTGTGTTCTAGTTAGTAAATGTTTGCTTACCCCAAAGTACAAAAATACTCATCTTTGTCCTCTTTCAGTTGTAAAACTATAAAGCTATAACGTTTTAACTTTTACCTCTATGCCTACTTCAGGTTCATTTTAATGTCTGATCAATATAAGGATAAAAGTTCCTTTTTTCCATATATGAATTCTAACATTTGTTGAGAAGATAACCCTTTCCCCATTAAATATTATTGTGTAACTACCATGACTAGTTTTGAAATCAGTATAATATTGGGCTCTTAAAATGAGTCTGTGTAAGTTCCTTTTCCTTCTTTACTAAAATAATATTTGCAGTATTTGGTATTATTTCTAACTTAGATATAAGGTAAAATTCACTGATGCAAAGGCTGGAATTTTCTTGAAGGGATGGGTTTTTAACTTCTCAATTTAGTTGCTTTTACAGGTAAATGATTATTGACATATTTCTCTGAGTCAGTTTGGCAAAGTGATATGTTTCAAATTGTTGTATTTTATTTACATTGTTGAATTTATTGGCATAAAAATGTAGTGAGTCTGCATTCTCTTACCCCCTCTGCCTACTCATCTGTTGTAGATAATTCATTGAAGTAGGATCATACATTTGTCATTTTGTGACCAACTTCTTTCACTCAGCATAATGTTTTCAAGGATCACCTATAGGGTGCTATGTATCAAGTTTTTATTTCTCTTTATGGCTTTATAATATTCTATTGTATGTACTTATCACATTTTTTAAATTCATTTGTCTACTGATATACATTTTTGTGATTTTCCATTTTTTAAAAAAAATTAAAAAGAAAAAAAATCTTTTATATTTACCATTTAAGACCTTAAATATAATTTTGTGGATACATTTTTACATCTGGTAGATAATCTTTCAAACAAGAAAGGAACAAACATTCCACACTATAGTTTATATAGGAGTTAAATTTTCCTTGTAAAAGACCAGATAGTAAATATTTTAGACTTTGTGGGTTATTCTGTCTCCTCTCAAGCTGTTCAGGTTTGCTGTTTTGTTATATAAAAGCAGCCATAGACAATAAGCATGTAAACTAATAGGTGTGGCCATGTGCCAGTACAACTATATATATTTACAAATACAGGTGGCTGGTAGATTAGATTTGGCGTCTTGGCTATAGCTTTCCAACTTCTGATCTATATAAGACTTAAAAGAATTACTTGTTAAAGAGGTGTCTGTATGTCTCCTTTCAGCACCCCTTAATGGGCCAAAGTAGTCTTGTCTTTCTGTAACTTACTAATGAAGATTTACCCAAATATTTATACTGGTAAGCTATTTCACAAGGAAACATATACACATGTGGCTTCTGTTTCAGAGGGATGATGGACCTTCATTAAAAAATTATTAAAATTTAGGAAAAGCAGGTTGTAATTATTATTCACTGATTTGTTTAACAAATCTTTACTGAGCATCTACTTTCATGAAATGACCTTTGTCAGTGTCATCACAAAATTTACAGTACAGTTAATAAACTAAATATTGGACAGGTCATTTCAAGTATGTTGCATATGTTCATGATTGCCTATTGGAAGAAATAACAAGCTTCACTATTTAGTGTATATAACATTCCTTCTTGGTATACTTAAACCAGATTCCATGTCATCAAGTTGAACTAGCTCATCAATGACCTTTGATTGGGTTTTAGAGGCTGTAAATTACATAGAAGGAGATTGCCCATCTCACTACCTTGGAGCCTGTAATGGAATTGAATCACCAGAGAGGCTCGGCCTTTTGGTTAGGAGCACAATCCCCACATCACCAACTCACCTTCCTGGGATAAAGATCATTACCAGAATCATAATGTAATAGCTCCTTTTTTATTTTTAAGAAAAGAAAAGAAAGAGAACAAAAAATCAGTAAAGAAATGGAAGAAAAAGCAGCAAAGGAACAAGAGAAAGAACATTTGCAAGAAAAAGCAAGAGAAAAATACCAGGAATGGCTGAAGAAAAAAAATGCTGAAGAATGTGAAAAGAAGAAGAAAGAAAAGGTATTTTTAAAATTAGAATAACTTGTTGGAATGTGTAACTTTGGTATTTGTATGTCCTTATGATAAACTAAATAAAGCTATTTCTACTTGTTATTATTGTAAACCAGAATTAGAACCTACCCATAGCTGACCCTCCAGGCATGTTTTCAGAGGCAGTAAAATCTCATGGGAGAGTGCCCATCGTTCCCCTGTGGAGCAGCTGCTAGATTTGAACTGTGTACCTTTGTATTAGTAGCACAGTTTCTTACCACTAAGCCACCAGAGCTCTCTGTTTCTGTTTAATATATATGTTTGCTATACTTTATTTCAGGAGCTCTGGTAGACTAGTGGTAAGAAGCTGCCCTACAATCCCAAAGGCACATGATTTGAATCTACCAGCTGCCCCATGGCAAACTCCTTGCATGTTATCTACTGCCTCTTAAAAACCATTGGAGTGTCAGCTATGAGTCTGTCCCAGTTTGATGGCACACAACAACATACTGTGTTTAGAGCTCTGGTGGCTTACTGATAAGGATTTGTGCTGCTTACTGGTAAGCTACTAGTCATGCAGTTCAAATCCACCAGTTATTCCATGGGAGAAAGATGGGTAGTCTTCTCCCCTGAGATTTACAGCCTCTGAAAACTCCACTATGGTTCAGTTCCAACTCAACAGCTATTATTTCTTTTGAATATTTTTCAGTGCATTTTTGTAGAAAATCTGTGAAAGTAAAAATCTGTATGAAATAGAAATCTGTGAGAGAAGGAAAATACAGAGATCTCCCACAATCAGAGGGCAATAGAAAACAGCCAAGACTTTATCAAAGTTAGAAAACTGTTGACCTCTGGCTCTTGCAGGTTTCATTGTATATTGTAATTACTATTGTTGGAAAACAACAGATTTCATTCTTCTTGTGTTAAGATGTATTATTGTTCTATTTTTAATACTAGATTTCTTATGTTAAATTTGTATCAAATTATAAAATATACCCAATACTTATGGCCAGTAAGCAACAAGAGAGGGAACTCCGGTGGCATAGTGGTAAGGGGTGTCACTGCCAACAAGATGGCACTTGGTTTGAATCTCCCAGCTACTCGGCGGGAGTAGATGGGAAATCTCCTCTCATGTAGTTTACAGCCTCTGAAAACCTGCTAGAGGGTCAACTATGGTTCGATGGTATGTATCTAACAAACAACTACAGTGGGAACTATTGGGTTTCAAAAATTAGTAGATATTGAATGGAATTTCTAGTTATAGAATACCCCTGAAAATTTTTTGGTCATTTTTAAGGAAAAAGAAAAGCAAAGGCAAGCTGAGTTACAAGAAAAAAAGGAAATAGCAGAAAAGAAATTTAAGGAATGGTTGGAAAATGCGAAAAATAAACCTCGTCCAGCTGCAAAGAGCTATGGTTATGCCAATGGAAAGCTTACAGGTTGGTTTTTATGATAATGGCTTACATAAGTATGTTTTGCAGGAACAAATATTATACAGTTTCCCTTTGACAGAAATAGGAACACATAAAAATTACTTTCCTTTCAAATTACTATTTAACAAATAGTCTTTCACAGACTATGTCCCTGTGGGGATAGATATTGCACATTTATTGACATTTTATGTAAATTATTTATTGTTTTCTTAAAGTCAGGGGTTGTAAAACTCAAACTTGTGTTTAAAGTAATGATTTCTGGCAATAAGAAACAAGTAAAATGTTCTTATAGTTCACAGATTATAAAGCTATAATCAGGGGATATCAAATGGGTTACTTTGTGTCTTTTCTTCTGATTGGTTCTAAAGCAGTACTCTTAATGCCTCTGGCACAATCTGTGTTTGTGCGGTGAAGCACTGGATGACACATCAGCCAGACACAAACCCGGCTACCTTTAGGCTTGTTCTGATCATAAATGGGAAAACGTGCTTTTCTGTGTGCTTCATGTTGGAAGCTCAGACCTTGCTGACAGCTGCCTTCGCTTGTTTAAGTGATTTATTATGAAAAATACTCTCATTCTGTTTTGTTCACACAATAGAACATATTCCAGACTTTGTTTTGACCATCTTGGTGAAGTGTGTGTTGACATATCTTTGCAGTCAGAATGGGCTTCCAGTGTCTGAACGACACATTCCTGCTGTCAGGATTTGGGCCTCTCTTAAATGTCACGGAGGTCATCCATTACAGCTACTGAGCGTGGTCTGCTTTCTTTATTTTTTCTTGTTTGGGAATAGGGTAATGATTAAGCAGGGATTTCAGTCACATCATAGGATGGTAAAGTTAAAACTTTAGGGGGGAATACATACCGACTAAAAGCTAATTGCTAAAATAATTTTAAAACAACAAAAAAAAGGTTTTATTTGAGCAGTTAGCTTTTAGTTGATAATGTATTCCCACTTGAAATTTTAACTTTACTCTCCATGTTTTTGTTTAACTTATATGTTTTAATTAATTTAATTAAAACCAACCGCATATTTGTTGGCAGATACTCTACTGCCTTTAAGTCTCTTCTTTATGTTCATATCATGTTTACAAATGATGGAATTAAGGAATTTGTGTACATACAGAGGAGTGGCTGGGGAGCTTTGGGAGCCTAACAGTGAAGAGATGCACTGCCAACAAAAGGCCCATAATTTGAATCCACCCATTACTCTACCGGAGAAAGAGGGGCAGTCAATTCCTGTGCAATTAACTGCCCCGGAAACCCACAATAGGGTCAGCTATGAGTCGGTTCCAACTCGATGGTACACAAAAACAACAACATAGTAAATGAGTAGAAGATTTGGGTCTGATTTGTAAAGACTTCCTCCTTTACACAGTTATTAGCCATCAGGCATTAAACACTTCATACTTTCCAGTAACTCACTCTGCAATTAGGAATCTCAAGTCCAGTGATACTGTGAAATCTTACTAAGCTGAGTGATAGTAATTCAAGATTACAGTGATTCTAACCTGGAATTTGGATTCATTTCAGTTCCATATAAAACATAAATATTTTTCTGTGAGCTTTAGTGTCTGACGTGGAGAGGCTACTCCATGTACTTCCAATACTTCTAACTGAATCAAGAAGATAAAGGTTTGGTGTGCCGTTTTGAGCTTCTCTGCTCTTGGTCACTTGACATCTTCTCAGGCCCTGTATTAAAAGCTTGTTCATTTTTTTTTTGGGGGGGGGGTGAAGAAAATATAAACGTCTGTTCAATTTAAGGGGTCTAAAATTAATTTTCTCCTAAAATTTTTGCAAATGTTTTATTTATAATCATTTAAACTAACATTTGAATTCTTAGATCTGTATTTTAATATTTCCTGTATTTGAGCAGAGGCAGTATTGAAGAACTCAAGTTTTAAGTAAATCAAACTGGTTTATCACAGCATTTTTACCCTTCTGATTTTTTAACATTTTACTAGGATTTTAAGATAAGTTATTTTTTTTACTTCACGTTTTCTCTGGTCTCTGTCTCTTTTTAACAATTTTAGGCTTTTACAGTGGAAATTCTTACCCAGAACCAGCATTTTATAATCCAATTCCATGGAAACCAATTCATATGCCTCCTCCCAAAGAAGCTAAAGATTTCTCAGGAAAGAAGAGCAAAAGACCTGTGATAAGTCAGCCACACAGGCCATCTCTGATAATTCATAAAGCCAGAAGCAACCTTTGCCTTGGGACTTTGCACAAAATACAACGATAACACATGTGGGAAATAACATATTTTTACCTGGAGCTCTTTAATTTTCAAGTCAGGAAGAATAATATCTTACTGCTTCATTAGTAGCTCACCATTTGATTCGATGAGTGACAGGTTCCCATTTGTGCATTTGTATGTGGTGGTCTTCGAGTATCTAGCAAATAGGCTAAGGAAGTATGAGGAGCATACTTTATCATTTTGATTTTTTTAAGTGTTCCAAAGTTGATCTTGGCATATTGTTTTGCAGGATAAGTGACTGAATGTCTACGTGTCATGTTTGTATTCACTGAATTAAAACTAAATTGCGATACCATAAAACCAATATTTCTTGTGTTCTTCATACCCTATGATCCTATTTTCATGTTTTGAATTTATTAAGATTAAATTGTTCAAATGCTTTAGATAACTCTCAGAAGCATCTACATGAGTTGGAATCCTAGGATCAAAAACAATCTTTGTTGATTTCTGGTATATTTTCTCCTACAGAGAGATGTTTTAAAATAACTAATTGATGTCATGATTTGTAACTAAGAAATGAGGACTGGAATTTTCAAAAGAAAAGTTTAAGTATTTATTGGTGCTATGGATCTTGAGACATTCATGAACAATACTTTTGTGTGCATTGTATCAATACTGTGCCACAATTATAATTAATTAGTCTCTTGATTTTGTAATGCTCGATTCTGTTTGAATAAAGTGTAATCACTACTGGTTTTATTGTTTATTTGTTACTATTGGTTTTCTTGTTAGAAATGTTAGCCCTTGATAGCTCTTTATTCAAAAAAGTATTATAGGATCAGACAATTTTTTTATTATATTTTACACGTTTGAGTTTATAGAAGATGATAAAGAAATGAACATTAATTATAACTATAAAGTTGAATAAATCATATTGGAAAATTCACTTCTAAGCAAAGAATTTAGAGGAATTAGTGCAGCTTACTGGGTCAGAATATTCATAAGATTTTAGGACACGACCATTTTTCTCAGGACCTGTTGGATACAGTAAAACTTGCAAATGATTTTTCTACTTGAACACGTTTAACTATTGAGAGAGAAAGTAGAATTTTCCAGGGTAATAATTTCATAGGTGAAGAAATAATCAACTTTAGCTATAATAATAATAATTCTAATAAAACCTTTTTCATTTGTTCAGTCATTGATTGGTTTGACCAAAGTTTGTTGAACATTTACGGTGACATTGTGCATACTTATTTAGGAATGTATATGGTATTTTATTAACTTGATGGACATTTTTAGCCTATCCAGGGGAAAGTGTCACAACTAAGAATGATGTGTGACTCTACACTGTGATGTTGAGCATCTGTGAGTCGAGACCGACCCATAGCTGACCCTCCACTGGGTTTTCATAGGCAGTTTAATTGCATGGGAGAAGATTGCCCATCTTTCTCCTGAAGAGCAGCTGGTAAATTTTAATCAAGTGCCTTTGAGATTGCAGCACACCACCTTACCACTAGGTCACCAGTGTTTTGTATTTAATACTTGGTTATACACTGTGATACTAATGCTGAAATCACATTCAGAACTTATCTTGGGAACATGGATAAGAGTTTAACCAGTGAAAGGCTCAAGAGCAAGTGACATGTGAGCTGGTAGAAGGAAGACAAATGAATTTTCTGGTTAATCATGTGGCTGATCACACATGGATGTATGTACTGAGAAGTGGCCCAGGGAAAAGCAGGGGTCACATTGCATGACTTTACATACTGCAGAATTTGGGCTTGATGGTAAGGGCTTATGAGGCTGTCTTACTGCCCCAAACACACATTTTGAAAATCAGAGATGTGCTCTGGTGGTGTAATCCCTCGAGGGGGACAGCCATGAGTCAGCGGCAACAAGCGAGTGAATTTGGCTGTGTATATATTAACACAGGGCTTTCATTGAGATTAACAGGTTTATTGTTCAGGTGAAAGATTAGGGATAAAGATTTAGGCTTTATTTGTTTAGTATAATTTTTGTATTTTTATCGATTGGAAGCATTTACAAATTACTAAGAGAATCTGAAGCATGAGATTGTTCTGCTGGTTGCATTTGTGTATCCTTTATGTTGACAGAAGTGGACTAGGACAGTAACGAAAGAATAAAGATAGAGCAGAGAGAAAGAAGTCACTGAGGAGCAGTGCGAATGGTGGGAGGAGGACAAGCACTTAGTAAAGAAGGGAAGCTTTAAGAAATGGAGTGTTCCCCATGCTACCAAATGTGTGTGCGTTCAGGGAGAGTAAATGAGCCCCTCTTTTGGGGGTCTCACTGAGACTAGTCTTTGTTGAATTCCAGCACTAAACAAGACTGAATCCTGGCCAGTTAGTGTTTCCGAGGTTCTCACTGAGGTGACAGTTAAACTAATGCTTACTTTAAAGAGGGCGTATCAGAACATAGCTCACCTTTTTGGGGGGTTGGAGATGGGGTCAGGAAAAGATTCTGGAAGGAAGTGAGTAAGCTTAAATTTGGGCTTGAGGTGCTCAAGGAAAATTTAGGATTTAATAGCTTTTCAGGCTGGAAAGTAAGGAATGAGCTCAGAAAACTGAGGTCCACATGCAACTTTTTCTCCATAAGAGTAGGTAATAGATGACAAGATTGATCCAGAGTGACAAAGGAGATACCTAAAATTTTAGAAATTTGTAGAAAACATATTTTTAATTCTATGGAAAAATAATTTTTGGAGAGACTGATGATAAAATAAACCGTCTGTATTTTCAAAGCTGAATTACAGATAGGTCTCTTTATTTAGAAATCACACTTTCACAGACTTGCTTATTATGATACCTCCAACCCTAGGGAATAATAAAGAACAGAAAAGTTTGTATTACTGCAACACATTCCACTAAATGACTTAAACGAACAACTCATTTTCTTTTCTCCAAAAAAAGAGAAAAAACAATATTCAAGTGTTTACTGTAGCAATTAGTACCCTAAGTTAAATTCATATGTTGGTTTGAGAAGCACCCACATATGCTGTTACTTTACAGTGAGTATTTTCTCACTACTGTTGATAATGGCAGTCTGCCTGGCAAAAAATTTCAGAAAGGGCAGTGGCATCTTGAATTTCCTCTTAAATGAGAAGGAGGAAGGAACACTTGAGAAGGGAAGTGATTCAATTACCTGTTAGGGAGAAAGCTGTGCAGGACAAAAAGTTAGGAAGGAACACTGTCCTTTTCTGTCTGCCAAAACACAGCGCCTCCCCTTTCCTCACTCATGTTCTCAGAGTTGATAGAACTAGCAAAAGAACTTGGAAAAAGGAAAAAAGCGGCTCTCCCCAGTCAGCTTCCAGGCCCTGGGAACCACCTGAGGGCCAGTGGGAGAAGGAAGCAAGTGTTGTCTCCTCAGCTGCAGGCATGCATGGGTGGGGTGGGAGCGGAATGCATTCTTAGTTTGAATGAATTACCAAAGCAACCATGGGACATCGTTTCCCAATAAGCAAGAGAAGCAAAAAGCTTGCTTGTGCCTACTCACCTGTCCAGTGAATAATGTCACAGTTTCCCCTCCAGCACATCAGACATTCTGCTTCAGGGCATGGCTGGCTCCTGTCTCTCCTAACCTCGGGGCAGAATCAAAGAAAGCCTTTTTTCAAATTGACATCCTTGACCAGGATGGGGGGACCCAGCAAGCAAGGTAAGCACAGGGTTACTTGTTTTTTACAAGTCTGTGGTCAACAGCTTATTCACCTTATATGAGCATGATGTGTTCACAACTGTTTACGACAGTTTAGTGCATAAGCACAAGTAAGTCCTTGCTCACTGAGTAATCCAGCCCACATTTACAGTTCCCACTCCTCCAGCCAAAGACTTTCCTGAGTGTTAGACTGAGATGCCAGAGGCTCCCATAGGTAAATATGGAAAGAAAATCTTCTAAGGTGGCTTTTAAGAAAATAGATGAAATTGTCACCAATTCTATTACCTATGTAATGTAATAAGTTAATGGTCTCCAAGGTCCTTTTGGCTTTAAGATTTCATTACTTGGTGTGGTTCATTTTTATATTTTTAAGGATTACAGGTGATCACCGTTCATATTTAATAAAACAGAGAAGACAACCTTACTTACCCAGCTACTCCACTGATTGAGATATACCCTGAGACAATGAGGAGTGAGGCACAAATGGAGACTTGAACACCAGTGTTAATAGAAGTGTTAATCACCATCACAAGAACATGGAAACAACCCAAATGGAATACTATGCGACATACAGGAGCAATGATTTTGTAAATCACTACCCAACTTGGGAGGGACTGGAGTGCATTATGCTGAGTGAACTAACTCAGTTCCACAAGGATGAATACTGTATGAAACCATTATTGTAGAATGAGTATGAGGATCCGGGAGTGTGGGAGCAGAGGCATGAGGATAGGTGGGGGTGGAGGGTGGTTAATCACAGGGTCACACAGTTTGATGGGTGGAGGAGGGTGAAGGAAATTAGAAAGATCTGGTGTGAAAAACTATAAAAAACAACGTATATGTTGTAAATAAACCAGTATTAAAAAAGAAGAGGGGAGTGTAACCTGAAGACAACTGAGGCTCAGGAAGCCTGCTTCCAGGCTGTGTCCAGCTTTTTCTGGGAGGCTGCTGCCTCGGACACAGTAGAGAGTCTCTGGGGTTTGAATACCTGCTGTGGTACCGATGATCATGTCCCCCGTATGGTGCAAACAGCACATGCAATTGCTAACTTTAAAAGCTTGAATTGCTGAATTTTTTAGTCCAGCCAGAGACACCTCAAAAGAGAGGCCCGCCAATCTACTCCAAAACCAGCCATTAAAACGGAGCAGAGTTCTAATTTGATGCACAAGAAGCCCTCATAAATTGGAGATGACTTTACGGCAACTAGTTAGCTATGGGATCTCCAACAAGTCTCTTTAACTTCTCTAAACTTAAGTTTACTGAAAATGAGCAGGATAGTGCTGCACAGGATGGTTGGGTATATTAACATCTTGCAGATTACTTAGTATGATGTTTAACATATGTT